CAAAGATGACAAACATAGCATTTTTCAATTTTGGCCGCTTTCTCTTCGCCTTTCCACTCTTCCCTGAAAACGGCAACAGGGAAGAAAAACAACAATTCAAGCAGATGTATAAAAAAATTACTATCTACATGATTACACGATGAGCTTAAGTAAAAATACATATTACCTAACTAATTTATGATTGAGTGATAAACCTTACATGAAGGACACATGACATCAATATTAAGTTCTGCAATTTTATAAATGTTACACCGAGAGAACCAAAATTGCTTCCTCATTTACCTCCGTGCTCCTTAGCTCTCAGCAGTCTGTATTCAGTATTTAGAAAAGGCTGTCTTTTACCCCTTTCGTTTGATTGTTACTTATCATCTAGGTCGTATTAATTAGTTCTCCACCATGCCCAAAACAGGTACGATAAATTGTTAAATAATATGGAGGTGAACGACATGATTAACATTTATAAAGTTGGATTTTTATGCCGATCGAGATTTTAAAATTTCACAAAATAACTGAATATTGGCCACCAGCAACCTTAATACAATATGTCACAGATACTGATTGGTCGTGTAAGAAGATTTTATTATTAATTTAGCTGCCATTTTATTTACTCTCACTGCTTCAAGTTCATTCATGTTTGGACATCTATTAGCTAAACTTATTGGGCCTCCTCAAACACACCACCATTTTGGACCTACTAACGAACCATTCCTACCCTAACACCTGACTTGGCTCTGAGTGAATATGCATATAANCTAGTTGTATGAGGCATCTTTTTTGTCTCACAATTTTGTGAACCCAGAAGTGTAAGATTGGAATCCACAAATTTGTAAGACAAAAAGGAACCTCAGTTAGTTGTGTGGGACACACAATAAAACTTCTCCTTCCGTTTTATTGTTTCTGATAGATCAAGAAGATGTACTAATAGAGTACAAGAAGTTGTTGGTTACATAGCAATAACTTGATTACAAGATTACCATTCAATAGCTACAATTTCACCGGTCATATTGATTGGTTGATGAGAGTCAATTCATTTGTACAGAACGAGCAATCAATACCATTCAGCGCATTAAAGAATAAAATCTCAAGGTATGTTCATTTACTGATAATTGTCGCTTAGCCCATTTGAACTTCTTTTTGGTTTGAAACGATAGAAGAAAGTTCGACTAAATTTGCTGCTTCTATAACAAGACCTTTTGTCGTTCCAGTCATGAGTCAAGCTAAGGGTGCCCACCACACACATTTGGTCCCCAACTCCCAAGCCCCAACAAAGCCACACTTTTCTTGCTTAGACCTCGTTTGCAGAAGAGTAACCAGCGTAATGCGCAAAGGTGCGACAAAGGAGTAATAAGATGTGATAGAGGTTCATTTCACCTGTTCTTTCTTTTCCTTTCCTTTACTGGGCTTCTCCCACCGAAATAATATTTTTTTTTTTAAAGTAAATCTCGTTGTCACAATTTAGTAATAAAACGTAAACTAGTTCGTAAAACTAATTGTAGTGTATGTTTTAAAGTTTAACTTTTAAACTTTAGGC